ATTGGCAGATGTGCAGGTGAACATCTGCTTGATGTGGAAAGTCTTCTTGGGGCCTGGGATGGGGGTGAGGGAGGAGGTATGGGGGCAGGTGTAGCACTTCCTGCGGTTGCAGGGAAAAGTGCCGGGTGTGGTGGAGCTGGAGGGGAGTGTGGAGCGGACAAGGGAGTCACGGAGAGAGTTGTCCCTCCGGAAAGCAGATAAAGGTGGGGAGGGAAAGATGTCTTTGGTGGTGGGGTCGGATTGCAGATGGCGGAAGTGTCGGAGGATGATGCGTTGGATCCGGAGGTTGGTGGGGTGGTACGTGAGGACGAGGGGGATTCTTTTTTGGTTTTTATTGCGTGGACGGGGTGTGAGGGATGAGGTGCGGGAGATGTGGGAGACACGGTTGAGGGCGTTCTCGACCACCGAGGAGGGGAAGTTACGGTCCTTGAAAAACGAGGACAACTGAGATGTACGGGAGTGGAATGCCTCATCCTGGGAGCAGATGCGGCGGAGGCGAAGGAATTGGGAATAGGGTATAGCATTTTTGCAGGAAGGTGGGTGGGAGGAGGAGTATTCTAGGTAGCTGTGGGAGTCGGTGGGCTTGAAATGAATATCGGTTTCGAGGTGGTTGCCCGATATGGAGACAGACAGGTCCAGGAAGGGGAGAGAGGTGTTAGAGATGGTCCAGGTAAATTTAAGGTTGGGGTGGAAGGTGTTAGTGAAGTGTATGAACTGTTCGAGCTCCTCGTGGGAGCACGAGGCGGCACCGATACAGTCATCAATGTAACGGAGGAAGAGGTGTGGTTTAGGGCCGGTGTAGGTACGGAAGAGGGATTGTTCCACGTAACCTACAAAGAGGCAGGCGTAGCTTGGGCCCATGCGGGTACCCATGGCTACCCCCTTTGTCTGTAGGAAGTGGGAGGAATTGAAAGAGAAGTTGTTGAGTGTGAGGACGAGTTCGGCTAAGCGGATGAGGGTGTCAGTGGAGGGGGACTGGTCGGGCCTGCGGGACAGGAAGAAGCGGAGGGCCTTAAGGCCATCTGCATGGGGAATGCAGGTGTAGAGGGACTGGACGTCCATGGTAAAGATGAGGTGTTGGGGACCGGGGAATTGGAAGTTCTGGAGGAGGTGGAGGGCGTGGGTGGTGTCACGGACATAGGTAGGGAGTTCCTGGACCAAGGGGGAGAAAATGGAGTCGAGATAGTTGGAGATCAGTTCGGTGGGGCAGGAGCAGGCGGAGACAATGGGTCGACCAGGGCATTCAGGTTTGTGGACTTCAGATTTGAGTCTTTGTGATGGATAGTGTCGGGAAACGTACAGAACATTTGTTTTGCTGTCCATTTTGAAATCTTTCTAATTGTGTTCTATCTCTAGATAATTTGATTTCTTGTTGAGTTTTCCTCCTTTGTATCATAAACTTCTTTTGCTGACAACTATACAGTCTCATGCGGCTATGTTTCTGTGACTGAACACCATGTTAACTAATTTTTTAAAAAATTATCTTGTCAAGCCAGTTTTCAGTCTTGGATTTGACTTGTTTAGTAATGCCACTAGCTGGAATCGTAACATAGTACCTGTTCGATGGAGCCTGTTCAGAATCTTAAACGTTCCACTGTGTTTACTTTCTCATCTCCAGTGACTATAGGCCTAATTGCTAACCTTTGCTCCGAAAACAAATCCTTTATTTCAGCAATCAGTCTTGGGAATGTCTCCTGAATTGCTGTCAATGCATATGCCCTTCCTTCAGTGATGAGACCACAGGCCACAGTACTCCAGGTGCAGCCTCACCAATGTCTTATCGAGGAAGAGCAAACCTTCCCTACTTTTACCCGTGGGGGCTCGTCTGCCCCTGTCAGCTTTCTTTCTCTTTTTTTCTTTTTATTTTGGCTCCTTTTCTTTTTTTTCTATTTTCTTTCTTTTCTTTTCTTTAAAGCCTAAAGACTGGCGGGTGAAGGAGGAGGCCTCCGGACGAGCCAAATATGGCTCGACCCCAGCCTGGGTTCTTCGGTCGAGCAAGGAGCAGGTCCTCGACTGACTTCCCCGGCCCAGACTCGCAGGCTGGGCTGAGGCTCTAGGCCCATAGCAAGGTCTATGCGCCAGTAGGAGCAGACGCATCAGAAAGGGATGAATGGCGGATCAACAGCAGCGTCTGGAGGAGCATCAGTTAGGGAACAGGAGGCTTCTGCTGGCCCAGCGGTGAGCTGGCTTCCAGCAGCTCAGCTTGGCGGTCTTGGCCCAGGATGGCAGTTTACTTCAGAAGAAGCTTCTGGCCTGGCGTGACATTCTCATCCCGGAATGGTGCTTTCGTCCCAGCTGTGTCGTCAGGATATTCCATCATTTCTCAATAGGCTTTTCCTGACTCCACGAGCCGTTAGCTGAACTGCGATGAACTGTGTCTTCATTTTACTTTTTTAAAATTATTCTGTATGATTTCTGTCATTAATCTAGGTGCCATGATGTGGGGACTAATAAAACTTCTCACTGTATTTTTCATTCAAAAATATACGTGACAATAAATTTCTACTGTATTCTATTCATTCTTCCCCTTTACAAATATTTGTTATACCTGCATGCTGACATTTTGTGATCCATGTACAAGGACATGCAAATTTATTTCAACCAGAGACTTGTGCAATTTCTCATGTAAGTAATATGCTGCTTTTTTTTGTTCTTTCAGCTAAAGTGGACAACCTCACATTTTCCCACATTGTACTCCGTCTGGTCAATTTTTGCCCACTCATTTCATCTATCCATATCAATTTTCAAACTCTTTGTATCCTCCTCACACTCGTTCTCCTCCTGAAATAAAAACCAAAAGAACTGCTCTTCCAGCAACATCTGTTTTTGCTCTCTGACTCATGTTTGTATTGTTAACAGCTCTGGTTACAGTGCAGTTGTCCCTTCAGCCAAGTCATTAATAGTTAAGGCTGATTCCTGTGGCACTCTACCAGTTAAAGTTTTCCAACCTGAAAATGACCCACATACCTGAATCCCTGTTTCTTGTTTGTTTGCTGATCCTCTTGCTATGCTGAAACATCACTCCTAAGATTATGAATTCTTATCTTGTGCAGTAACCAATAGATCATATCTTTATCGAATACCTTTTGGAAATCGATTACATCAATTGTCTCCCTTTTCTCGACCCTACTTATAAGATCCTCAAAGAACTGTCTTAAATTTGTCAAACATGATTCTCTTTTCACAAATCCATATTGACTCTGTCTGATTGTGTTATAATTTACAACATGTCTTGCTCCTGCCTCATTCAGAATGGACCCTAGTGTTTTCCCAGTGACGAACAGGCCTGCAGTTTCCTGCTCTCTGTCTCCCTCCTTTCTTTAATCATGGTCTTACATTTGCAGTTCCCCAATCCGCTGGGACCTTCCCAAATCTAGGGAATTTTGGCAAGCTACCATCTCTGTAGTCACTTCTCTTTAGACTTTAGGCTGCAGCCCATAATGCCTAGCGGACTTTGTCAGACTTGAATCGCCTTAGCACTATTTCTGTACCAATGGTCATTGTCCTGAGTACCTCCTTCCCTTTTTCTGCCTGAATTGCATCTATACTTAGTAATGATTTGCGTCTCTGCTGTGAAGAAAGATACAAAATACATGTTCAATGTCTGTGTCATTTTGTTCTATTTCCCATGAGGAATTCCTCAGTCGCATTACAGAAGGGACCAACACTTATTGTATCTAGTCTTATGATTTTTAAGTACTTGTCGAAGCTTTTACTGTCTGTCGTTATACTTCAATGCTCTTCCCAAACTCTGAAATAAATTGAGGCAGAGACCATAAATTGTGCATTCTGAATGTTTCTCTGATTTGTAGGATTTTGAAATGGATGTGGTCGCCATGGTGAATGATACTGTTGCAACAATGATCTCCTGTTATTATGAAGACCACAGTTGTGAGGTTGGAATGATCGTAGGTAAGGAGAACTTGCAGCTCCCATTTACAGCAATGAAAAAGTTCGGAATATAGCATTACAGGATTGGAAAAGATCAGATGGCCCATCTTGTCAGCACCAAAGTTGACTGAAGAATTTTCAGTTCTGTGAAAGAGCAGAAAATGCAGCCTATTGTGCAAGGTCCAAGAATTTTGGAACAGTTGATTGAAGGTTTCAGACATGCTGAGCACCCAGTATTATGTGTGAATATCAAGAGAGGTACCAAGCAGAGTCAAAGAAAGAACAATCAGACAAGTAAACTTGTGCTGTACTGACAGACCAGGCTAACTAACATGGAAAAGTAGACATGTACAATTAGAGTAACTGGCTGTCAGTGGGGGTTGAGTGTGGATCAATTGGAATGCGGAACTGAGAAAAACTCTGAAAGCTTCGGAGATAATTTATGGAGCAACGGATATCTAAGAAATCGTATTTCTTTCGAGAGGTTCAGACAACTGTGATACTATGCCAGAATAAAATTCCAGCAGTTTGCAGCTTTCACTTGAATCCAAAGTAGGGATTATAATTTAGTAACTGTGAAATTTTTCACTGCTGGTTGAAGTTTGTTGATAACAGTAGTCTTCAAGAACAGTAAGTCTGTGAGCTAATAAGAGCTCACTATGCACTTTGTAAAGATATAATTTTTTGATATCACCAGCAGAACTGTCTCTATATCATGTTATATTTCTAGCTACTTGCACATTCTTGTTTACCACTCATGAGTGGCTTCTGTCTTCAGTGGTAGATATATCTTCAAGATAAGTCACAAAATTGTGAGTTTTAGCACCAATTCAGTTATTAACTGCACAATCTAGCTGATAGGAATGCAATCCTAACAAAGTACTGTGTTGTCAGAGCCGCCATCCTTCATGTGAGGCACTACCATTGGCCGTGTCACCAGATAAAAAAGATTTCATTGTACTAATCACAGCAGTAGGGAAACATCCAGTTGAGATCTGCAAAATTCAGGCTTGCTTCGGGGGGTCAGCCAAGTCAGCTTGCTCAGTTGTGATGGAATGATGGCAACGGCTCAGGTTCAATTCTTTTGCAGTCTTTGCTGTTCATGGAGGGTTGCTTCTTCACCTTGCTCCATCCTTAATGAAGAGTTCTGCCCTCAAGCTATATAACAGTTGTCTTTCTCTGATGGAGAGAGATGTATACAACATTACCGGCCTCGTTGTTGTCTGAAGACAGTGAATTGCAAGGAATCTGAGAGATTCAATGGAATGTGGAGTAACAAGAATGCTCTATAGAACAGATATACTCTGAATGCTGTCTCTATATTTTATTCAGGAGTTTGAGGTTAAGGATATGTGTTGTACTTTGATGATATAATTGCATTTGCCAATGTGTACAATACAAGCAACATGACATCAGTTAGAAACTAGAAAAAGCGAGAGAACAGAATCAAGCCAAAGGCAGAGTGAAATAGAATAATGGTGAAGTCACAGGTTGAGTGTGAGACAGAGAGGTTGGACTACTCAAGAAAGATTTGGTCCTTGGCTGGCTTAGACCATCACCGTCTTCTCCAGAAAATGCTTTTAAGTGGAATGAAGAGCCTTTGACACTGAAATGTATTCACAATAGTTCAGAATCACATTTTTTTTAACCTTTTAATTGTGACTGCATTCTAAGTCTGGTGTAACCTGTGTTTATACTTCTAGGCACTGGCTGTAATGCCTGTTACATGGAGGAATTGAAAAATGTGGAATTAGTGGAAGGAGAAGAAGGAAGAATGTGTGTGAACACTGAATGGGGGGGTTTTGGAGACACGGGTGAGCTCAAGGAGTTCCGTCTTGAATACGACTGTATTGTCGATGAGATGTCTAACAATCCAGGTTATCACCTGTAAGTAAAATTGCAATTTATTTGTAGATAACAACATGTTTTTTTTCCTTTATTCATTGACAGAATGAGGGCATCACTGCCTAGGCTAGCATTTATTGCCCATTTAATGAGTCAACCACATTGCTGTGTGGCTGGCAGTCACACAATCAGCCAGACCAGGTAAGCGTGGCAGGTTCTTTCCCTAAAGGACAGTATTCCTTTATTCAAACCCAGCTCCCCAAAACATTGCCTGGGTCTTTGGATTAACTGTCCAGCAATAATACCACTAGGCCATTGCCTCCCCATATGAAAATGGCAGCAATAGATTTGGGTGATGTGTAGCACATTACGATATGGGAAAATATGTATGATGGGTGATGCAAAGTGTGAATTGCATGCCTTTCCCTCTGAGAATCCATGTTTATTGCCCATGCCTAGTTATATTGAGAAGGTGGTGGCAATCCTTCACCTTGAACTGCTGCAGTTCCTGGGGGATGCTGTGCACAAACTAGCATTGGCCAACCAATTTCAGGACTTCATTTTGGCAATGATGAATGACCAGCAAATGTCCAGGCAGAACAGTGCATGATGTGCAAGGCAACTTGCTGTTAATGATATTTCCACTGTCAGTAAAATTGCAGTTTCCGTAAACAAGGATCTAAAAAGTCACTGGGTTGCGGCTACTGTACTGTTTTAGCAATTTTATGTTGACCATGTCAAAGGCAGATTGTGGCTTTGCCTTCAACCTCAGTTATGTTGTGGTTAACCCAGTTTTAACAGACCCTAACATTTATACTTGGTAGTTACATCTAAGACAACACCTACCTTTATTCTCGGCATTGCTGCTTCAAGTTTTTTTCGAGTGGTTCTAGTGCGCACTGATTCATAATTCAACAATAAATCTTAACAGTATGAGAGTCATGATGTGCCATTACGCAGCTTGGACTCATCAAGCAAAAGCAAGTGCAATTATCAACTCAGCTAATGGCTGTTTCTGCAACACAAGATGAACAGAATCTGAATTAAAGTGTTTATAGTTTTGATCAGTATTGTTACAGTTACAAGGTCACAGTTCAGAACTTGTTTGAGGCACTTCAGGGGTTTCCAGCCACAGCTTTGAAATCAGAACAGCTGTTAGAAGTAGTCGCATCTTCAGCAGATTAAACTTGGTCAAAGTCTAATTGCTGCATTTTACTGTATCCTCTGGTGTGAATGCAGCAGGCAAAGATTAAATGTGTGCTAATGTAAGGCATTACTTAATCTATTAATCAATGCAATAAGGTTCAGAAAGGTCAGATCTAAAGTACCTTTGAAATTTGCTTCCCAGCATAACAATATTTCTGCATCTCGTTAAATAGCATACTCCTGTACAGTATCCAAGACTCCATAATGAGCAACAAACAGGCTGATGTGGCACTGGATAGTTCATAAAATTTTGAAGAACTGAAGGAAACCATTAATTCCAACATTTTCAGTTTTCTCCATGTCCTTGTTAATGTTCAATTTTCAAACATTTATCTGCTCTATTTTTACAAGCCATTCTGAATTCAGGATTCACACTGTTTCTGGAGAAATAATCCAAGTCTGAACAATTCTCTGTTCTTCAAACAACATTTTGGACCTTCATTTTTTTATCAATGATCTTAATTTTGTGTCCTGTGTTTTGTGACTTGCTGAATTGTCAAATTAACTATTATTATATGTGAATCTTCTTTGCTCAGCCGAAAATAGGCCCAATATCTTTAGTCTTTGCTAATAGCCAAATTCTTGATGGAGTGCATCCTTCATTCTCTTAGCCCCATTGTATGAAGGAGGGGAGAAGAGAAGTGCTTTTTTGTTGGAAACATCATTAACAGCAGGTGAATTAACCACAATGGAGATAAGGGTTAATTGACAAAATTAAGCTGCATTTGAAAATGGCACTTAAAATTACAACTTTGACAAATGGAAACAACAAAGTAGACTGTTTAATGTAAAACATTCAGAGACTTGAAGAATATTAAGGCACTTTGATTTTATAATATGTATATTTTTCTGAACAAAATATCATTGGAGATTATTGGAACTTGAGGTGGATGAAGAATTCACTGCATTTGATACTTGTCCTCTTTCTTAACCAGATATGAAAAGATTATTGGTGGGAAGTACATGGGTGAGCTAACACGACTTGTGCTGCTGAAACTGGTAAATCAAAACCTGCTCTTCAATGGAGAGGCATCCCAGCTGCTGGAAACACAAGGCAGCTTTGAAACAAGCTTCCTCTCACAAGTAGAAAGGTACAAAGAAACTTAGCTGCTTGTGATCAAAATTGGAGAGATGCGAGTTTCCAATACTGTCTCAAGAGTATATTTCATTTTAAATACAACAAGGTTTCAAAATGCATAGGTGGTTAGTCAGCATCTAGTCTGCCACCCATTTTTGTATTTGGCGACTCCTGTATATTTTCATCACTCACTTTTCTGGAATACTGTGTGTAGTTTTGCTTTAGATATTTAAGGAAGGATGTGCTTGCAAATGAGGCAGTCCAGCTAAGGTGCAGTGATTTGCTCCCCAGGCTGAAGGGCTGCTCAGTGGTGAGGGGCTGTGCAAGCAGTTCTGTATTCTCTGTCTTTTCGAAGCATAACAAGTAACCTCATTGAAACACACAAGATTCTCAATGGGCTTGAATTGGGTAGGTCCTGAGAGATTGTTTCCACTGGTCAGGGAATCTAAAACACTGTCAGGAGAAAGAGTTAATCACTGAGGACTGAGATGGAGAGAAATTACTTCGTTCAAAGGATTATGAATCTTTGGAATTTGTTGGAATTGGATTGGTGATGTTCCAACAATTAGCATATTTAATGCTGGGGTAGGTGAATTTTTAGTCTCTCAAGAAATTGATGGAAATGCGTGTCAGGCAGAAGAACAGATTTGAAGCTCAAGATCAGCTGGAGTGTGATCAACAAGACAAGTGCTGGACCAGTCATGACAATCTGTATGGTCTAATGCTGCTTCTACTTCTGTGTTCTCCTGTTCTGTTTCTGTGATTATGAATTTTGGGTTATTCTGTTCCAATAAACTCCCCTGCCACCCAGCTTCATCCATTACATGGGATGTATGCTACTTCTGACACACATTCTGCAGGTTGTAAGACTTGGTGGATGGGGTTTGTTTTCAGTGGAAAGAACAGAAAATTCTGGCACAGTATGTCTGTGAGCATTAGAGAGAAGATAGATTCACATTTGTTAGAACAGACTTATGCAGAAAATGTTGAAATATCTTTTTCTATTTCAGACGCTGCATCAATTTCCAATATTTTCTGTTCCATATTTCCAGTTTATTTTTTATTCTCTTCCATTTTATTTGCAATAAACCTAATGGAAATTCTTCTATTAAATTTCCCTTATCTGAAAATTTTAAATATTGGAGGCTAGTGTTCCTTGTTGAGACTTTATTCCGCATATGAACTTAATGCATTGGTGAAATACAAGGACTAATTTAACCAATTCTTTGATGTTTAGTCCTTCTTAACACATTATAACCCTTGGTGTTGATTGCACAATAGAAGACAATATGACAGAATCCCTTGTTGAAAGTCCTTGATTCGTCTATATGAAGTGTTAGTATTGTTCCCATTGCATTCCTCAGGACCTAAAGTGAGCTTTCTGCTGTTTGCCAAAATTTTACTGGAACCCAAATATGACAACAGTTGAAAAGTAAGGACATGTTGTTTCATATAATACGGCAGATATGTTATTTAACTAGAAAAGCTGCAGATATACCAGTTACTTTATGAAACTCGTTTTGGCTGCCACAAACTATTAATGTTTCTGCTTTCTCCAACTTTAAATTGAGTTACTTTGTAAAATATACATTTTTCTTGAATCTGCACAAGTCACATTACTGTTTAAGATGAATATGTTGTTCAATGCAAGATCTAGTGTAAAATGGAACAAAAGGATGTCTTTTGGCATAAAGATCCGATGGCCTAGTGGTATTATCACTGGACTGTTAATCCAGAGACCCAGATAATGTTCTGGGGACCCAGGTTTGAATCCCGCCATGGCTGAAGGTGGAATTTGAATTCAATAAATATCTGGAATTAAAGGTGTAATAATGACCATGAATCCATTGTCGATTGTCGGGGAAATACCCAACTGGTTCACTAATGTCCTTTAGGGAAGGAAACTGCCATCCTTACCTGGTCCTTACATGTGGCTCCAGACCCACAGCAATGTGGTTGACTCCTAACTGCAATTCGGGATGGGCAATAAATGCTGGCCTTTATCGCCTATGACACCCACATCCCATGAATAATTAGGAAAAAAGACTATGCCTTGAAAATATTCCATGACCCCACCTCCATCACGCTCTGGACAAGATAATTTCACAGATTCCCGAATAAACCAGAGATCTCCATTTTAAATGGTGCCACCTTATTTCTAAACTGCGTCCCCTAGTTTTCAGTTTCTCCGACAAGAGGAAACATCCTACCAGCATCTTCTGTCAAGTCCTCTCAGGATTTTCTATGTTTCAGTAAGATCACCTTTTCTAAATTCCATTAAATACATGTGCAACCAATCCAACCTTGCCCTCTTGTGGCACACTGGTAATGTCCCTATTCCCTGGACCAAGAGACCAGGTTCAAGTCCCACCTACTCCAGAGGAGTGTAATAACATCTCTGAGACAGGTTAATTGGAAAAATAGGTGAAACAATAAATTATAAAACCTCCTTATCCCTAGAACCTGTCAAGCGAACCTTCTCTAAACTTTTCATGCCATGATGTTCTTCGATAAGGAGTCTGAAACATAACAAGATGATGACTTGCCAATATCCTGAACAACAGGAGCAAAAGATTGTTTCTTTCATATTTAATTTCCCCTGCAAGATTCAACAACATTCAATTTTCACCACTTAAATAATATACTGCTTTTCTAATCTTTCTGCTAAACTAGACATGTTCATAATTTCCCACGTTATATTCCTTCTGCACATCTTTGCCTGTTCACTTCACTGATCATATCCTTTACCAGTCTCCTATGCCTTCTTCAAAACTTACTTTCCTGTCATTGAGTCATCAGTAAATTTAACAAGCATACGTTCAGTCCCTTTATCTAGTTCTTTGATACAGATTGAAAATCGTTGAGACTCCAGCATAAATGCCTCTGACAATCTATTTTTTACATCTTGCCAATCTGAAATGACCCAATTATGCTGTTTTCTGTTAATGAGCCAATCCTCTATTCATGCTAACATGTCACCTCCTACACAATGAGGTCTTATTTTGTACAGTAACCTTTGATTTGGCACCTTGTCAAATGTCTTCTGGAAATCTAAGTACATCAAATTCTTCTTTCGAGATGGTCTTGAAATTTTATGCCCTTCAATACTCAACTATTGAAAATGAATATTGTCTTTCCCTCCAACCTCCAAGGCAGCAAAGCAGAATTTCTTCCTGATGTCAAGAAAAAAGCCTGCAGTATGATATTGATTCTTATTCCCTCTCTGTTGCACCATTCTCACCCTCCCAGAGCAAAGCTGTGGTAAGAATCTGTGCGTGGAGTCTTTTAACAAGGAGAAGCTATTGCCATGCAGCTACTCCAGGGGTTTCTGGCTAGCTTGAAAATTGTTCTGTTCTTACCGCCTGCCATTGATTTTATAGCTTGATAATTAACCTGATGGGCTGCAGTTTGACCCACCTTCCTGGGCACCAAGTCCTGAGGTGGGACTTGAACCCAAATTCTCTGGCCCACAAGTAAGGATGCTACCATTTTTTTGTTGTTCATTCATGGGATGAGGGCATCGCTAGCTATGCAGCATTTATTGCCCATCCCTAATTGCCCAGAGGGCAGTTTTTCCTGACAATCAACAATGGTTTCATGGTCATCCTTGGACTCTTAATTCCAGATTTTATATCAAGTTCAAATTCCAACATTTGCTGTGGTGGGATTTGAACCAGGCCCTGAGAACACTATCTGGGTCTCTGGATTAACAGTTCAGCAACAATACCACTTGGCCTTGCCTCCCCTTTGATTAACAAGGGAGTAAAAGGGTATTGGGGTAGCCATGAAGTGGTTAGAAACCACAATCAGACCAACCATGATCTCAGCAAATGGCAGAGCAGGCTTGAAAGCCCCAATGTCCTACTCCAATTTCTGACTCAGACATTCATGCATATGTTTGTGGGTAGTTATGCAGAATGCTAGATTTCCAACCAAACCACTGGTGGAAGCAAAATTTCTAATAGCCTTTAAAAGAGGATTGGGTAGATAATCAAAAAGGAGAAAGGAAAAGTACACTGGAAAATAATAAGACATTGGAAGTTAGTATGTAATTTTTTGCACTGATGGTCTGAAAGACCTTTCGCTGCATCGAAATTTCTCTGGTTCTGCATTGATGTGTATCCAGAGCTAATGCTTCTGTAAGGGACAAGCCAAGGCCCAAAAACAGAGGCATCCTGAAAATGTAGGCATGAAATTGATACCAAGAGCACCTTTGTCTTGGCCAAAGTTATGATAGCCATTTACTACTATTCAGGGTGCTTTATCTGTAATCAGACTGGCATTGCATTGTTTTCCATGTTTCAGGTGGCAAGCAGGTTAAAAGTTTACTATCGACTTACCTTTGTATATTTTCTTCAAGTGACACAGGGGACCAGAAGCAGATCTATAATGTTCTGACAAAACTAGGCTTGTTGCCATCCAAAGCAGACTGTGATATTGTCCATTTGGTATGTGAGAGCGTTTCAACACGTGCGGCACATATATGTGCTGCTGGATTGGCAGGTGTTATAAATCGCATGTGGGAGAACAAACACAAACAAACAATGAAGATTACAGTAGGAATTGATGGATCCGTTTACAAGTTACATCCTCAGTAAGTGTTCATCTGAGAGAATGGTGATGTTTTAGAGTTGTTGTAACTCTGTGTTCTTCGAGGTGTGTTGACTGTGCCGAAGCAATCCAGCATTATGCATATGCAGCTTGGGTATCAGGGAAGCATTGATGTAGCCCAGATCTTCCAATGGCATGGTCTATAATTGTTGCAAGTTTCTCAGATAGTAAAAACCTATTTATAGATTCTAGAACTGCTCTTAATAATTTTTAAAAGATTTGAAATAATATTGGTGTTGGGTTATGCCTTCTCTATCATTTAAATAGATCTGTACCACTTCATTTTCATTAACAAGCAAAATTCTGAAACACTCAAACCATCTGAACAAGATAATACATTAGTCCTGTATTTAAAATTTGGTGTGCATGGACTCAATGGTAAATTTTGGTGGCTGTTCACATCCCACGATCTCGAAAGCAGTTTTTTTGTCTTTTTTAATCAACATGGCATCCATTTTAGACTGTTTTAGTTAATTGTGTTCTTCCTGCTTCATGTTTTACAAACACCCATTTCTTTTTTCTCTTTACTTTCACATATCTTTCACGCAGTTTCTCAGAGATGAGAGGCCTCACACTCTTTACATGCCAGACTGTTACAAGCTATTTATTGTTCCCATAAACCAGGTCCCTACTTTAATCAGTCCTTTGGGATATATATTCATGGCAATTCCTGTGTTCATGCTTTACTTAACTGCAGCACTGAGAAAGCCTTTTGAACCAATGGCAGATAGACTTTCAAAGAATATGGTAATTATATCTCCATTAAGAACAAAAGTATTGCAAAAACACATTGATATTCTTACATTAATATAAAACAAAGAAGTCAAGATACTGGAGATCTGAAACAAAAACAGAAATTGTTGGTGTTATACACCATTTAAAATCTCCTCAAAACAAATCAAGAAGAAAGCTTAGGCCTTAACTTTTCTCTTTATCTAAAGGCAACTGTAAAGTGCTGTGTTCCAGATGTGATTGGATTGGTCAAACTACTAGGCTCTAAGCAAAACACACTTTATTCTTACACCATTGTTAAAATATAAACAAAAAAAGGGAATAAATTTAATTCTATCAAAATACTTTATAAAATAATATATTATTTAACTCCGACTCATCATCGATTCCCATATAGAAGCATCTCATAAACACACCCTTAGCAAGGGCAAATTCAGCAAAACAGATTTTCTGTCACTTGCTATCTCCTTCAGTCTAGGGGAAGGAACACCAAGAGAATTAATCTACCAGCAGATACAGCACTCAAGCTTTTGCAGCAGCAGAGAGAGCAGAGCTACATCTCATAGCTTCAACTCCAAAACCCCCAACTTCAACAACTGAAAGCAAAACTAAAACCCTGGGTCTGTGAGCTTTAGCCCACTGGACTCTATCCACTCATGCTTCTTTTGTCTCATCTTTTAAAAGAACAAAGCTTTTTACTCTGCTTCCCATGGAGTGGATACCTTAGCATTTACAACAACAGAAACATTACAGACAAATCCCTGGTTACACTGGTGAAATTCAGCAGGTCTGGCAGCATCAGTGGGAAGGAAGCAGAGTTAACATTGTGAGTCTGGTGACTCTTCATCAGAACTCACCTAAAACTCTATGCTTCTACGTATTCTGACTTTTAAGAACACTGTAAAATAGGTGAGACCAAATCAGCAACCAATTTTGCACATCAAATTTAGAAGAGATGTAAAATCCTGGCACCTACCTACTGCCGCCCTTTGTACACTACTTTGTGAAATCACTATCTGTCCTGTTATATTTTCAGGTCAGCTTCACCTTCATTAAAAGTATATTTTTGAAGAAAGCAGGCTTTCTGTTCTTATGCTGCTGATCTCCACTTGTTGTTCATCAGTTGTTGCCATTTCCTGTGGAGCTTATCACCATGAGGACACAAACGTGCATTCCTGAATTTGACTTTGGTCATGAAGAGTTGTCTTTCTTAGCAGTAATCCAGTATTAGAATTGCACAGTTTTATCGTGTTGACGGGTGGGCATGGCTAATCCTACCCATGGTGGCTTTTGATCATCAGAAGGAAATGGAGAGATTCAGCACACCCTCAGCTGTTCGGAATATTGGCATGCTCAAAGTAAGGACTGGACTAAACCGATCTCGTTAAGATCTCAGGTACCATAGGCAAAAGGACAGTGTCTAAATTAGTAAAGCACCTAGTTCATGCAGAAGAAAGAGATTTTTCTACCTCTGTCTAGATTGGATTTGAACTGGGAAATTTATATAATTCAGTCCTCCTCCTCCTCCTTAGAGAGAATAGGGCCTCACCCTTTCTGACTGGATTATATTCTAATCTCGATGTTGGCCCAATAAAAATCATTGTTAGGGTGTCTGTATGTGAGCCAGCACTTTCCCGGCAAGTGTAAAGTTCACAATTTCTTGCTGAGGGTTTTATTGTCCCTGCAGTATTAATCACACTTTCTTTTTTCACTATTTTCCCCCCTTAGCTTTAAACATAGGTTTCAGAAAATGGTTAAAGAACTTGCACCTCCCTGTGACATCACTTTTCTACAGTCTAACGAAGGCAGTGGTCGAGGTGCAGCATTAATCTCCGCAGTAGCAAGCAAGATGGCCAGCTGATTGACTGTTAACTTTGGAAATGAATAAATTAACGGAAGTTAAATGATAAATTGCAGAATCCCTTTGGCCATTTCTGCAGTTCTTTCTGATAAACTGAAGATTATGCCTTCTATATGGATTGCTGGTGAAAATACTTCAGTCAGTCCACTTACGATAAAAGCACGGTATGTAATCTCTCTTGGAAAACTCGTGATAAGCTGCAAGTGGAAAACCCAAGCCCTTGTTTCGAAATCTGTTTCAACATGTTGCTCACTCATCTGTCAGATCTGTCCTGCCAGCTTCTAAGTAAGGTTAGTGTTCTGGACCAAGTCCAACTCCCTGACTGTGTCTCCTGTATACAGCAATGTTTTCACCAACCTGAAGCATGACTTCAAGAAGAAGACTTCAATTTGTGTTGAAAATCACTAGTTTTTTTTCACTAAACTGAAGCAATGCATGTTAGATTAGTGCCTAAGATGAAATTTGAGTGATTGCTACCTGTTGACTGATGCGGGTCAGTTTCTTGAACTCTGACTTTTCTTGTTGTTCTTTGTTATTTTTTTCTTGTTACTTGCACAAGTTGTGGAGTTCCAGTCTTGGCCCTTTGTAGAGTGATTTCAATGTCAAGAGGTTACAGGCCTTTACAATGTCAGAAACTACATAATATCAATCTTCCTAATAGTTAACGTTATAAAGTGTTAATTTTCTTGTGAATTTATCAATAATTAATCCTGTGGCAAGGTATGAGTCTCTGTATAAAACAAAATAATTGTTTTCAGAAGTCCAATAAAAAGCATGTTGTGCAAAGTTTTATGACAATGAATTCTGTTGGGAAATTAACTATAGGAGTGAACATCTTTTCCCTAAAGCCTGCCCTTATTGTTGCAGTGTTGGTTGCTCTATTACCACATGTACCTTTGGAAGTCATGTTTGAATTGAACTTGCAATCATACTTAAGTTGATGACGGTGGTAGATATTTTTAATCAAACTGTTCAGACATGTTGTTACAGAGTTCCGGAGCAGGTGGGTCTTTTCGCCCAGAGGTTGAGATACAACCTCTGTGCCACATATCCTTAATGAAAGGAGCTGCTCTCAGCTCCTGACTATGTTATATTTTAAAGGTAATTTCTCTGGGGGATCAAACTTAATTTATGGCAACTATTCAGAAAGTTGCTGCAGAGTTCATCACCTCAATGAATTCATTCACTGGAGCAGTTAGCAGCCAACTGTAGTCATTTGTTCTTTAAAAAAGTCGATCTACGGAGTAAAAACTCACTACTTTCAGGGAAGTCATGCAGAAGAAACATTCAATTTCAAATTATTTTCCTTGACTTCTTTTCATACTCCAGCAGTTTTGATAAAATTGAAGAATTTATCTGAAGTTGGATTATTCTTTTATTGCTCAGACATCATTTAATTAATATTCAGTACGTAATGTTACCACAACTAAAATTTATTTTTAATCTTCATTTTAATTCCTGTTGATACAAACCATTTGTAATTAGAAATCTCAGACGAGTACAGTTGAGAATATTCCTTGCTATATTTTGTAACAACTGTAACACTTGCATCGCTCTGTACGATGACAACCAAAGAGTATAAATATGGTGTAATTCGTTATACCTTTTAAAACATAATGATGAGTGAAGTACAAAAAATAAATACTGCTGTGTGAAAAATAAAGAATAAATACTCAAGCAAAGTGTTTTTTGTCTGATTTAATTTCTTCCCCCCGGTGGGAATTTTATGTTTTATGGTAAATCTGGTTCGTCTCCAGTTACTGAACTTGCACTATCTGAATCATGGAGTAACTCTGGGGATGAGCAGAAACTGTCACAGGTTGAATACCAAAAAAAGGTTTGGGCAAATATCCTGTATTCTAAGAAAAAAAAACTTTTGAACTTATGATTTCTTGAACTGTCAGTAGTAAGGCTCTCATTAAGCAGGATTCAGATTTTTCTTGAATCGTGCCCTGCTCCATTATAGGGTAATTGATACAAATTGATTTGTCATTGTGAACCAGCAACTCTGGATCTTCTGTCGTGTCAGAAGTTGATCAATAGCATGCCTCCTGGTTCTTGACCAACTGTTTCCAATTATTCTTTAACTGTGTTCTTGATAAAACACCAGTGACTAAGAATTTTCTGAAGAAGGGTCCAGACCCGAAACATCAGCTTTCCTCCTCTGCTGATGCTGCCTGCCTGCTGTGTTCATCCAGCTCTACACCTTGTTGTCTCAGATTCTCCAGCATCAGCTGTTCCTACTATCTCTGAGTGACTAAGAATGTTAACTGTTTAATCAACTGTTCCAGATTTGAGCCCAATTGTCAATGAATCAAGTTCTGGTCCCTTGTTTCTCAACTCATTTCGACTGTTGATGTTCTCCGTTGTAAACATTTCTTCCCGATATTTGTCCAAATCTTTCCCTTCTTAACACTGAATGTGTGCTGTCTGGAATTTGGGCTCAGTGCTGTCTGTGAAAACATTTGCTACAGCTAGCAATATGGCCGGAAGTCAGTGCAGTATTGAGATATGATATTCCTCACCAGGAGTATGGTGCAAAAGATACTTTGCAAAATATAACAGCAAAATAAAGATCCTCTTATTTTGAATATTTTTAAGTCCTGAGCTTTATCACAATTTTCTGTTTGGAATCTGAACCTTCTAAGTAATTTGAAGAAAGCTTTATAGAGGGCTGAAGGAGGTGAAGAAATCCAGATTTGCAAATCAATACCACAGGACCTTTAATATTCCACTGTATCTTCATGATGTGGAGGTGCCAGTGTTGGACTGGGGTGGACAAGGTCAGAAATTACACCTGAAGAAGGAGTAAGACTTCGAAAGCTTGTGTTTCAAATAAACCTGTCAGACTATAACCTGGTGTCATGTGATTTCTGACTGTATCTTCAGTCAGTTCTCAACAGTACCATCTGATCCAAAAGGTGACACCTCCAATAAGTAGTATTCCTTCAGTCCTGCACTGGACTTCCAACTTAAGTTACGTACTGAAGGCCTGAAGACTTCCTTAAATCTCCAAATTTGACTCATAAGCACCTGCGTTAAGGCGGGAGGAAGACTGAAGCTGGTTGTTCCGGCTGTGCTGGCCTATTTTCATCAAACTGTCCCTCAGGACAGGACGGATGTCAAAATCAATTTAAATTGACACCAGCAACTCAGCTGATCATCAGCTGACATTGGTTTAAATTTGTTATCAACCAAATGGGGACCCAATTATGACATAAATGAGGCCCCAGTTTGAATAGATGTTCCATGTGAACAATGCTCACAAGGAATTATGTTAGCTTAAAGGATGAATGTCACTTTGGAATGTTCAGCCTTCTTTACTCTATCTGGCCTGTAGAGAAGGAATTTGTTTTATCACTGTCCTGTGACAGTTGGACAGTGGGTTGCATATTTCCTTGTAAGGTTTATCCTTCAGCGTGCATCTGTTTTTAGGAATAGAAGAGATAAAGAGAACTATAAAGACTGACACAACTTAGCCAATTGGCATTTGTTTCCAATCACAGCTCCACCAAATGGTAAGTAATTAAATATTTTGCTGATTTCTACATCTGTGTTAGTTCATTGTTTTCTTAGTATGGTACAAATTATCAAGATCAAATCAGGTTAAAAATATTTGAAGGAGGTCACTTAATGCCAAATGTATTTGCCATTCCTTGGTAATTAATTTCTGCCTCTCTTTCTCTTGATTTTTCCATAAAAGCACCACTTTAATTCTTCCATTTTTTTTTTTGACCTTCACTGAAGAATATCATTTAAAAGCCAAATAAGCTCTAACCAAACTTTCACACCAGTGATGAGTTCTAAAGTTGTTAATATTACAGGGTAATAGTTGAGTATAAGCAGTCTCATTTCGATCAAATAAGATATTTTGTGGGAATGGCTACAGAACAACCATTTGTCAGTTTGAGTGATCTCACAAGTTGTAAAAACCAGTTTAGACAGGTCACAAGAGCAAAGGGACAACTGAGCTTAATTACCCCAAAGGATCATATTGTGAATATGTAAGGATGTTCACATTGAATGAAGATTGAAAATTTTTGAAGTCATTGCTGAAAATTAACAAGAAATTCAATGGATATTAATTATTACCTCTTCTCGGAGTTTATATTATCTCTTTATCTGATTTCAAACATTGACTGCAAACATCCTTTCAGGTGCATTCTTTTGTCCACTGAAATGAGAAAACTGGTTTAATTGTTAGTAATGTATGAACTATGTACTTATCAGCCTTCTCAAGTCTACCAGAAATTGGGTAACCATTACTGAGCCCTATTTGTGTCTGGTTTCCTAGTGCACAATAAGCTTTCATTTTAATTGACAGTGGTATTTTTAAATGCTCTCTTTTACATAATTGCTTTGAAGCTTAGTTATTTTTCTCAATGACCTCCAAATGACAGGATGAGATTTGTGGCCTCCAACTATATTATTGAGAGGTCTAATGTGCCTGAATTGTCACAATTTATTTGTAGCCTTGTCAAAACTAAACACTGTTACCTTCAATGAAGGAAAGTGGAGATTCTGCTAAATCTTTGTGATGTTGAAACTTTGGCAACAGTGGTCAATGATATCATTTTTCACTCACTTTGCAGAAGCACATTAACTCTTTCAACCCTCCAACCTTTTGAGATCATTCCACTCTGACAATTTTGCCCTCATCTACATACCTGACTTCAATAGATCTACCATTGGTGTGTGTCTTCAGCTTTCTAGGTCCTCAGATTGTTATCTCCCAGGCTTCTCATCTCTGCCTCTCCTTCTCTCCTGTGCCAATTCCTAGTCCTAATTTAGACCCGCTACTTATTGCCCATACATGGTTTCTGTCTTTCTGTTTGCCTTCCATTCATGTGTCTATCAAGATACGCCTCAAATGTTGCTAACGTGCCTGCTTTCACCACCTCCATTGGCAGTGCATTTCAGGCACCACCACCCTCGGTGTGAAAAATTTTCCCTACATTTCTCCCCTAAGCTTTCCTCCTCTCACCTTGAACCTGTGCCCTCTTGTAGTTGAATTTTCCGCTGTGAGAAAACGCCTGAGACTTTCCACCATATCTGTGCCTCTCATAATTTTACCCTGATTCTCTGGATTCCGGGTCCACTGACATTATCACTGCGATCGCACCTTCCCCAGCAAGGTGTTTCTCCTGCAGAAATGCTGATGTTGTCTCCCATAAGAAACTGGGCATGAATATCATGGTATAACAAGGTGTAGAGCTGGATGAACACAGCAGGCCAAGCAGCATCAGGGGAGCAGGAAGGCTGACGTTTCGGACCTAGACCCTTCTTCAGAAAT